TGGGTCCCCTACCCCATTCAAGGGGTTTTTTTTTCTGCATTTCCAGTGGGGCTTTAAGATCACCCTTTAAGCTGCCTTTTCCTCCTGTCCTAATATTAAATCCTAATACCAGTGTGTCTTCATTTTAATTTACAGAAAACCAGCATCTGCTACCTGTCATTTCCTGACTCAAATTCGGGTAACTAAACTTTTTGTATTCATTTATTATATTATTATTTCGACCTTTTTACATATTGTGATGACGCTCATAGAGATTAGATGATATTTGTAGTGATTTTGCCATTTATTGTCCAGTTGTCTTATTTGTAGACATTGGTGGTAAGTGTGTGTCAGGTGGTTATTAGCCTTCTGCCTTCCCCAACTAAAATGTCTGCATATAGCATTCTTAATTCATTATTAATCACATTGTTAAAGGAGAAGTATTAGGAGAGTAAAATGTCCTCTTCCCAATACTAAGGCCTCATTCTGCCCTAAAAAATGCTGAAACCCCTCTCCCCCACCTTTAAACAAAATCCCATTAATGTCTATGGCCATGTTCACATCTGAGTGTTTTGTCCCTTGTGGCAAAACGCCTGTCACTGGAAAAAGTACATGCACTACTTTTTGGCAGAATAACAGCTTCTTGACCCCATTGACTTCAATGGAAATGCTCAAAAACATGCGTTTTCTGTTTTTAATGTGCATTTTCCCATTTACATCAATGTGTCACAACCTACTAGTGGAAACAATTTATTTATACGCATAAAAAAAGCAGTGAAGCTAATGTCTCCAGTTCAAAGTGCGTAACCCACTGGTAAATCTCTCTTAAAATAATGCAAAGGTGGTACTTTACCCCTTATCGCCTTTCTAAGATTTACCCGACGCACTCCCCCCTCTGTTAGAGGGATTGCGTCTCTGTTGCTAACATCATACATGTCTTCTGAACCTGTAAAAGTATTAAAAGCTATTGGGGCATGATTTTAAAAGAAAAGCAGTGAAAACGCATGTAGGAACCAGCAAAAATGCTCTCGCCTAGGTGTGAATCCAGCCTCCGAGCTGGCATGGGATACTGCAACTGTCACAAGGAGGCTCTATGTATGTACTGAGTAGGGATGAGCCGAACACCCCCGTGTTCGGTTCGTATTCGAACCGCCGAAATGTTTGAGTACGAACTCGAACTCAATGCAAGTGTATGGGGGTCGAATGTTCGACCCCCATACAGCTGCCGGTACATGTGGCTGCAGCGGCCTGTGTCCCTTCAAATCCCTGCCTGTGTTGGCGGAGGCAGCGGGGACACAGACCGCTGCATTGCTCCGCTGCCCCCGTACCTCTGCTGCTGTCTTCCCTTGGTCCGTCGGCTTCTCCGTTCCCCCGTCTGGCCGCAGCACCTACGTCTTCCTCCAGTCCGGCCACTCGTCTTCCCGTGTCTGTCCGCTCCCCTTCTCCCGGTTCGCCCACTCCTCTTCTTCCTCCGGTCCGTCGGCTCCTCTTCCTCCGGTCCGTCGGCTCCCCTTCTCCCCTTCTCTGATAGAGAACTTTCTCCTTCAGGCCCCTCCTCCGCTGAGCCCTGATTGGGCAAAGTCTTGCACCTGACCTGTGGTCAGGTGCAAGACTTTAACAAATCAGAGCTTCAGTGGACATTTTGTATTATGGAATGTCCGCGGTCGAACAAACCGCAAACATCCCATAAAGTTTGACGAGCGCTCGAACCGCCGATGTTCGATACGAAACATCCCTAGTACTGAGAGCAGAGTGACCATGTAACCTCTGATCGCTCAGCTCATGGTCTTTTTCCTGCAGAGAGTAGTGGCTGTCATTCCCATTGTGGGGAGTGGGGGCACAGTGGCTCTGGCTCCAGAGAGGAAGAGCCAGCTGTCAATGAGGCACCGGGGTGGATCCTGACCATATTGCCAGGATCCTTCTCAGGTGTGGTGCATCTCTGCACTGCAGTAAATGTCCTGTGACCAAAAAGTGATGTAAAGCCAAAAAATTGGCTTTACTTCTTTTTTTTAAAACACTGTTCTTAAATCTTGATAGACAGGGAAAGAAAGTCCGTTCTTTTTCGCTTTCCCATTCCCTGAGTCTATGTTCGTTTATTCCTTAAGGTAATGATGTAATAATTGGGAAAGCTATTGCTGTATAAACATGTAGAGGTTTCCCTGTTGCTCTCATGAGCATATGATGGGCTGGAAGTAAGGAAGGTCACTGGGACATTTCTGCGGCTTTGAAGTGCAGACAGTAATTTGGCGTATAAATATTGATTCTGTGCTTATTTGGTGTATAGTTAATGTGTGCAGCTCCGCTTCCTGGTAGTCACAGTGTTTCTTCTCCCGAGAAATTGTGACAGTGATTGATGTGGGTGAGCTCATCTGTTTGCATTTGGCTCCTGTTTCCAGGCTGCCTGGGGGACACTCAGTTCTGCTTCAGGTTCCGTCAGTCGATGGGCAGGAAGTCATCCCTGCATTGTGTCTTGGATCAGCTGGACCGAGATTCGCCTGTTTATTTAAAGGTTTGGCAACATAGAAGCTTTTTTTTACAGACCAATTTGTATAAAATTGTTAAAACTGAACTCTAGGCCTTCAGATAAATATGCATTTAAAATTCACACACCCACACACACTCCTTGTGATCCAGGCTTTTTTTGCCACGCAGCATAGCCAGGGGTGTGAGCTCCCCTGTCCACTGTTGTAAGCAAGGCTTCGTGGTTACCAGCCAACCCACCAACTTACTGATTGGGCAGTGAACGAGCATTAGGGAACTGATCAGGGCATCGCTCTGCTCAGTCTGCTTTCTGTTCCTAATGGCAATCTCCCAATATTAGATTGACTGCATTATGCAGTGCAGAAGAGCTGGGACGGCTCAAAGCACTGCCCCTTCCTCTGCTAGAGTACTGCTGTGAGGAGGATAAAGGAGTCTGGTATAAAGTCAGATTCGGGTACTAAATCTGACTTCTATTACCAGACTTCACAGTGCCTTCAGATACAGAGCTTAATGTGGACTTATTTTATACCGCTTGTTATGAATGTGTATATTAAGGATGCACCCCATATAATTTTTTCCAGACCGAGTATGAGTACCGATTTTTTTTTTTTCAAGTACTCCTCGATACCAATTACCGATATCGTTTTCATGTGACAGTTGTTTTAAAACAATACAGAGTAATGATTTTAGGACAGTGGTGGAGCACCAGGGCCCGGTCACAGCTATGACCCTATAGTTCTGCCACTGACTTCAAGCTATAGAGGGACTACAAATCTCAGAAATACATTATATAGCAATGCAGAATACCACCAGCTATAGAGGACTACAAATCTCAACAAAACATTATACAGAATTGCAGAATAATGCCATCAGATCAAGGGGACTACAAATCTCAGCAATACATTATCCAGCAATGCAGAATAATACCATCCGCTATAGAGGGACTACAAATCTCAGCAAAACATTATACAGCAATACCATCAGCTATAGAGGACTACAAATCCCATCAATACATTATAGAGCAATGCAGAATACTACCAGCTACAGAGGAGTACAAATCTCAGCAATACATTATACAGCAATGCAGAATAATGCCAGAGCCCGGTCACAGCTGTGACCCTATACTTCTGCCACTGACATCAAGCTATAGCGGGACTACAAATCTCAGCAATACATTATATAGGAATGCAGAATACCACCAGCTATAGAGGACTACAAATCTCAGCAAAACATTACACAGAATTGCAGAATACTGACATCAGATCTAGAGGACTACAAATCTCAGCATTACATTATACAGCAATGCAGAATAATACCATCAGCTATAGAGGTCTATAAATCCCAGAAATACATTATACAGAAATGCAGCATAATACTGGCATTCTGCATTGCCGTATAATGTATTGATTTACCTGTTGCTATTATTATTATTGCTTTAAAAATGTATGATCAACACTTTTTAACTATTTTTACTATTGAAACGACAATTCATGCTCTGAAAATGTCACCGAAAAAAATCAAGACTCTTAGAACTCTGTTATATAAAAAGACACATTGATTTTTTCCCCCTGAATACTTTAATTCATATGTATCCTATCTTTTTAACAGAAAGATCCATCCTGTTTCTATGGTTACGTATATTTTCGACAAGTCCGAGACAAGACGTTAAAAAGAGGATATTTTCAAAAGGTAATTAAGAACATGACAGTTGCATCAAGCGCCGATCTCTGGCTGCGGGTGCAATTAACCCGGGCTCACATCTCGCTGTCTGCGCTTGTCAGTGGTCTGAGCATAGACGGGCGCTCTGCGGCGACTCTCAGAACTTCTACCAGCTTTGCCATGTGTGGGTTTTCTGCAGCTAGACATAAAAAGCTAATTTGGCTAAATTTGCCTATACTTATCACTGGCTGCCTTGTAAAGGGCTCTGATACACATGACATATGGCAAACATGTAATTGTGTGAGTATTGAGATATCTGACATCTTTGACAGCATGTTGGACACTTTTTTACCTGTTGGATGAATTACTTTGACATTATCATGGGTTTTATTGGCTCTATTCTTTACTTTGTCCTCTGTGGGTGAGTTAAATGACTATTATTGCTAAAGGTTGTATTCATTTCTGTATTATTGTAATGTATAATATTTTGTATATTCCTTTAACCGCTTTGTGTCCAGAGCTATTTTTAAATTTTTTTGCACACATGTTAAAATCTTATTTTTTGGTCTCAAACTGTTTAACTCCCCCCCACACCCCCATACAATTATATATTTTCGAAAAACAAAGGCCCTGTAGAATAAAAAAGGTTGGTTGCATGATAGTTGCGCACAATATTTTTAGGAAAAAAAGCACTAGAATTAATTTTAGTGCATACAAACGGAATAGAATACACACTTTTTGGGTAAAATATAAAAGATGGGGTTGTGTTGGGGAAATAGATACCAAACATGTCAAACTTTACATTTGCATTTATGCCTGGCAAAAAAATAAAAAATACAGGACCTAAAATTTCCCAAAGCCAAAGCTTTAAAGAAGAATTCCGGGTACAATTTTTATTAACCCAGAGTTCTTCTTAAAAAGCCTTTACTACTCATCAATTTAGTTTTGGCAGTGACTGATGACACTAACATTTTTGCTCCCTCTCTGGTGTTTGTGCACACATGTAACATGTTTTGCAATCATTGTTTTCATACATGATTGTGAAACGCAATTCAGGTGCGCCCGACAGTGGGAGTGGAGGGCTTTATTTAAATGTAACCTTTTATTTGTTTTTTGTTTTTTTTAAAAACTTTTTTGGTTTATTTTTTTATTTACACTTTATTGCATGGATGGCCAAACTCCGGCCCTCCAGCTGTGGTGAAACAACAAATCCCATGAAGCATCTCTCTCCAGGAGTCGTGGCTGTGAGAATCTAGCAAAGCCTCATGGAGTTCCACCACAGCTGGAGGGCCGCAATTTGGCCATCCCTGCTTTATTGATATTGCATGGGGGCTTTCAAGACCCCTATGTGAAAGCCGAATCGGTAAGTGACAGGTCCTCCTTTATAAAGACATCCGACTCACCAGGTAAAACTAAAGGAAAGGAAGTTTGAAAAAAAGAAAAACTAATGCATCTACCACGTCTAAGAACTGGACAACTGCAATAAATCAAACTTTGGCTTTAGAAAAGCTGTACGCTTTTTAAGATAAATTACTTCAGGATGGAGAGAGGGGAGGAGACTGGAGAATGTCCTTTCCCTATCTGCTCTGTGTGATCAGTGAGACAGAAACTCTGTACTCACAGCCTTCCTGTCTCAGCTGTACAGAAGATTGGGTGCCTTGCTGTTTTCAATCTTCTGTTGTTATCCCCTGTGTCATACCAATAAAATTGAGTGGGAAAAAATTAAAATGTAAAAAAATGAATAAAAAGGTAAACAAATTATATATTTTTAAAAAATGGATAAAAGGTAAACAAATTATAAAATAAATAAAAATTAATAAAAGTAAAAAAAAAAAAAAGGGAAAAAACAACAACAATTAAAACCAACTCCACCGTCCCACAATCTGCATGCAAATAAAGGCACGTGTAGGGCATTGTGTGCGTGCATGTGCTGCCCCCATTCCCCTGTCCATTCCGCTGTGTGCCATATTGTGGTAGCCAGGCAGCAGCGCTCTCTAACGCGCACATTGTGCATTAAAGGGTAAGTTCCCTTTCCCAAGTAATTTGGGGAAAATTGAATTACCTGCTCATATCTGCCCCCCCTGAGCGCCCTGACCAATGAGAAGAGCTTAGCACGATTACATACGATATTGGTTAAAATAATTTTTTGTATCACAACAAGTAGATTGTCATGAGAGACAAGTAGATTTGCCCCCCGCTTTAGTCCTTGGACAAGTAGTTTTTTTTAAATTTCAACACCCCTGATTAACCAGTTCTGGTTGGATTTATTGGTTGCTATGGGCTTCTGCACTTCTCATGTTTTGCTTTACGTCTTGCACTGTTTTATTGAATATGCCTTTTTGTCTGACTTTTCACGCTGATAGGACACACAGAATGTGAAGGAGAGGCTACAAAGAGATAGAAAAGACTAATCTGAAAAGTAGTGCCTTGAAAATGCATTTATTTGTTGCCCTTTACTCTTTTTGAAGATTGTTGTTTCAAACTAAATCACAGTCACTTTTTTTCTTCCTAAATTATGAATGGAAATTGTCTTTTTTCAGTCCTTAGTTCTGATCAGCAAACTGCCATACATCAATTTCTTTAACACGGTGGTGAAGCAGATTGCCCCGGAGTATTTTGAAAGAAGTGACCCATGCTTGGAAGCAGGTAACTGCATGATCATGCTGCGTAACATCTTCAATATTTGTCTTGATGTCATCATTGTGGAACTTGGAGAAAAAAAAGCATTGGTAGGTCAAGTCAACCTGTACGTTGCCTACTGGCTCATGCTAGAGGGGGGACCTTAAAATATTCAACCCTTCCCTGTGCTCTCCTGACCTTAGACTTTCCAGAAATAACCTCTACTACTGGGGACATATCCTGAAAAACATGTTACGTCCCTCTGATTCTCCATATTGCAACGCTCGATTCCTTGCCAGCCTGTGCCCAAGTGCTGGTATGTGGGAGCGGGCAAGGGTTACCATGCTAGCACAAAGGCATTAGGTTTGGAAAGTGTAGTGTGTGAAAGGCATAATTGTCATTCTGGAAGCTGAAGGCATGCTACAGTGAGAAGGTGGTATGTGTTTTGTGACCTAGGCTTGGTGCTGGTTCCTTAGTCTTCTCTAGGTAGCTTAATCTGTCTGCCTTTTATTCTGAAGACCATCAACCACAATCCAACTTTTAATAAGTAATATACCAAATGGGCAGGACTTAAAGGTCCACCCTATTAAAACAAATTAGACATTAAAACTTGACACACATCCTTTGATTACAGCCCACTTCCTAGGTAGTTTTGCTTTTTCCAGACATCCAGTCTACCCCATACCTTTTTGGTTTCTAGCCTGATGATCCTGAAACACACCTGCTGGTGTTGCTGCAACATGTAATAAAAAAAGCTGATACTATGAAATTTGTCACAACCACCTATCAGATATAAACTTGTTTTGTGGGGTTTGAATGGGATCAATGGTGCGGTAAACAGATAGAAAGAGAGAAAGTCACACAGCACAGAGTTCAAGAAGTTTGCTCCTACTGCCCTTCTACTGATCTTCTGTGGATCTATGTATGCTTATTCTGCGGGTGCCTATTAAGAACCCAGATTAAGGTAAATTAAGTGAACTCTGACTTCAGTATAGTTGCCGTGTGTGGTGAATGGCATTAGTAGCTCAATGGATGCTTTTTCTTGTCACCTAGAACTGTTCTTTAAAACCCAATTTTCAGTTGGGTACCCTCAATGACTTTAAACATTGGTGGGACTTTTTACTTTTGGAACATTGTGGCACAAAAATGAGTCTCTTTCATGTAACCAGCACTGCATGTAGCCTGGCCTCTTCGATGTGACCCAGCAGTACAACCTTGTATAAATCCCATCATGCCCTGGGAATATGCAGCACAGCAATAAACTGGTTTACACAACAAAATGCTTCATCCGATTCTTATCCCATGTAAGGGGTGTTTATCATTAGGCATTGTTACTGTGTGATGTCACTTCACTCACAAGCCAGGATTGCTTTGAGAAAATTCCCACACATGTAGCTGAGGCCTAAGCATGGAGCAGTTTAAATGTGTTTGGCATAAACAAAGCAATCCAATAATTAGAACAATGAACAAACTAGGTGGGCCAACTTGTGTTTTGTTGTCATCAGCATTATTTGCATCTGTTTCACTCCTTATTCTGCAACACCATTAAACATGCCTGTTCTAGAACTGCAGTTATCCAATCGGAAATGCTTATTCTCCCTGAGCAGAGGTGTTGATTGGAGCACTGTGCAGAGGCCATACCGGGGACCAATAGAGATTTGCGTGCTGCCAGCAAAGGGCAGCATGCAAATTCAGTCGTGAACACATGCAACCTGAAAGCAGAACAAGTATAAAACCAAGACTTTAGCTGAAAAATAAAAAATAGCTTATATTTCATTTCTTAATGCTGGCTGTACACATATATGTGGCAACACGGCAGTACACCAGGCTGCCACATATATGCGTACAGCTGGCATCACCGTTTTTTGATTGGAAGGCAGCGCTCAGCTCTCTGACCGTGTTGTCATTGATGCATCCTGATCACTGTTGACAGTCAGGATTTGGAAGGATGGGCTTTCTGTTAAAGTGATCACCGTGACGGTCAGTCACAGTGATCGTGTGATCTGCAAGCCCATATAACGCCTATGGCATTAACTAGGAAATACTAAGGGTACTTGGAATGCACAAAGCAACAGTTTGGGTTTGGCAGGTAGAAGTCATTATGTCGCCCAGAAGTGTGCTATCGCCATAAGGGAGAAGCTGAAAATGGATTGGCTGGGGGCATGCGACCTGCAATTGGATGGAAGCCGAGCACCTTAGACGGGGGAAAAACCTGCACAGGAAAGTGTGATTAATGGGTTATTCACTAGTAGGACACCTTTCTAGGCTTGCCCTTTCCACCTGCCAAATGAAAATGGTAAATTCCTATTAAAAATGTTTATATGTTTAAGGAAGAACTCCAGGAATTGTAAAATAATAACTGATCCTCGGTACTGGGGTGGATAGTGCTCACCTCTCTCTCCCTCCACTCTGGCGGCGGAATTCCCCTTGGTGTCCTTACATGCATTAGATGTGTTGACAACACGGGTCCTTAGGCCACTGGAGCCCGGGTGAGAAAAGGTGGTGGGTGTCTGGTTTAGCTCCTACACCAAAACAAGCACTTAACTGCAGGGTAGCCCCACTGTAAGGGTTCATTTCTATTTCCTGGCGTTCGTTAGGATTACAAAAAAATACTCGGAAGAAAACACACACAAAACGACTTGCAGAAACTCTGTACATTCCTTTCTGCAAAACAACAAGAATCCAGAAATGGATCTTGCAGATTTTGCACAACTGTGTCTCATCCAATGTTATCAGCAACTTCCTATCTTTGGAAAATTGATTTCCAATAAAACTTTGGACTGCTTCTTGTATCTTACATCACGAGCTGTAAAGGAACAGCCATTTTACTTGACTTCTAAATAAGTAATTAGATCCTTTGATCCTTGCTGTTGGAAGTGCACCTTAAACCAGACCTGAGGTAACGGAAATAATTTTAATGCTGAAGTCTAATCAGATATAACAGACACAAAGTAGTGCTGCTCTGTAATCCTTAATGCTTCATAAGCGTGTTATTTAAATGCAAGAAATGTAAGAACCTGAATGTGACCCGGGATCAGTCTCTAGCAGTCCCTGTACAGCAGGGCTGAAGTATGAGAAGAAGCAGCCGCACAAGGAGCCAATCAGTACGTTTGCTGACAGGAGGAGAAATTAGCTGCAGTCACTTTTTGGGGTATTGTGACAGTTGCAGGTGCTGTCTGTCAGAATATAATAAATTGCAGGAGAGATTTTTCTATCCACCCTGTTTAGTGTGGATGGTGTATTTAAGTGTGTTTTCTGTTCAGTTCTGTATATGGCCAGCTTAACACATGTAACGTCCCTGCAATACAACAGTGCTGTTGTCTTTGTTTCCTCTTAGGTCAGGCCAGGTTTATTTTTCCTCTATCCTTAAATTTGCTCTAAACTTAGTGCTTACCCGTTGCATTCCTCTTCTGCAGCTTGCAGTGATTTAGACCGATGGCCCGCTCCTCTGCCCGGGAAGACTCTGCACTTGCCAATCATGGGGCTCGTTATAAAGGTATGGCACCAATATGCTAAAAATCATGTTGAACTAAACTCTACCATTCTTACACATTATGGCAGGATAGCAGACAGAAACACTGTGCAAATATTATTTGGGACCTACATTGCTCCTGTATGCCTTTTGGATCACCCGCTGTGGTTGATTGCCATTTGAAGTATGTTATTGTTTGACAGATTCATCCATCCACGCTAACAGCATGGATGAATGAATCTCTCTGGAGCAGCTGTGCATGGCAACCAATCAGCTTCTCTCTCTCTCTCTCTCTCTCTCTCATTTTCAAATCTTAACTGAACAAACCAGTTTTGATGAATTCCCCTCATTGTATTCTAACAGCAGTGCTGGTCACTGTCAGAATACCTGAACAGTGCTTTTAGGTGATTGGCTGCAAGCACTATTTGGCCGATGAATTTCCATCTTCTCCCCTTAAAAGTCAATCTGTCAAGGGGGCAGGGCCACTAACAGATCAGATTTCGGCCGAATTTGCAAATTTGCTCCGTGTGTACCTGGCTTTAGATTTATTTTACATTCAATTAATAAGCTGTGTCTCTGCCACTGCCCTGTCCATCCTCTGCAGATTATAAACAGTCTTTTAATAAGTTGATATAGACATTTTTTTCCTTGCGGATGAAAGGAGCTGTCATACAGGAACATCAGGGGTTGACGCAGACACAGATAGCTGCAGCTAGAAAATGCACAGGAATGTTTCTTTGTGTATGCTGATGCCTGTGCATGCATTACCGGTGATGTGACTGATGATGGATTCATTCAATATAGATGCATAAAAGCCATTACACAGTAACTTAGGAACCATGGGGTATGCTGGTTCCTCTGACACTTGAATTACTCAATACTGTGAATTCTACATACCAGTGCAGCAACACTTTCTTACATGTACCTTGCTCTTGGCCTGTTGACATCAGATCATGTGACCAAGTGCAGGGGCCGTGTAGGAAACTACCTGTGCAGGATTGTAGCTCTGACATCAAGCACATCTGCTCAATTCACTCTTCACTGCAGTGAACTCACAGCGGGACAGTAAAGTGGTGGTGACAGGTGCCAACAAGGGGGAGAGTTCTGCTTCAAAATGTTCACGGAGACCCTTACTTGAGTAGCTAGGCAACTTCTAGCATGGCTGCTTAAAATGTCATATATCTGCAGGAGGACGGTAGTAACAGTGAGTAGCAGTTTCATTTTCTATGAATATGTTGAGAAAATAAAGTTTAATTCTAGGTGTATGTTGTTTTTTTTCCCCTCATGTGAGTGTTTACTTCTTAATGTACAACTTCACCTATTGATCTCTGTATTAGGTGCGAATACCAACAAGACTTGACAAGCCGGGGACAACGCAAATAGTGGAGATGACCCAACAGGTAACAGTGGTTGAATTGGGACTCTTGATTTCTTAGCTTGATTTAAAATGAGCCTGTCACCAAGGAAAGCCTTTTAACTTCTACTTTAATACGAGCAATTAAATTAAGTATAAAAAATGAATGCCAATCGGCTGTTTTTTTTATGACGGAAAACACTGCAAGTCTCTTCTGCCATAAAAGCTTCTTACTGCATGTCGGCAATTTACATTTTTTGCCTTAAGGTGCTTATATGCTGTGCATATGTTAGATTATGGCTAAAGGCTCCAGGGGGCTTCCTTTTTTATTAATTTTTTTGTGCTTGAGAAGTCTACAGTCCCTTTTTTAAGCTTAAGCCTAAAATCCAAGGTGTTCTCCAAGCATATACGGATCCAGTTTTAGACTAAAGCTGGCCATACATGGTTTGGATTTTGGCTGCTTCCTGCTGAATCAGGCAGCAGTCCATCAGTGGTTGGCCCTGCTCGCACCACACGGTTTGACAAAAGTTGATTGGAAAGTCAACTTTAGTCGAAGGAATCACTGTTCAGGTATCCTAACAGCAGTGGGCGCCGTCTGTCAGAACACATTAGCTGGCAGGGGAGATTTGTCCACCCACACTGTTAAGAGTGGATGGAGAACTTGAGTGTTTTTTCTCATTCAGCCCTGTCTGTGGCCAGCTTAACACTGGTAAGGTGCCTACATTTTAACAGTGCTGTTCTCTTAGTCTCCTTTTAGGTCAGGCCAGGTTTGCCTCTAGCCCTAAAACTGGCCCTAAACGTAGTCCTAAACTTAACACCCCTCACTTTAATTCTGCTTTAAGACTGTACTTTGATAGAAGATCGCTTGCTCGCTGAACATCCCTTCGGATTGCCCGCAATTCCATGGAGGGTTGAGCTATACACTTTTGTATATTCTTCTCTAATGTTTCCCTCTGTGTCCACCTTCTGTATGAGCTCAATTTTGAAAAGATTGAGTTTGAGACTTGTGTGACATTCATACTGAGATGTCAGTACATTAGTGATGCACAAGGAGACTGAAGGGGTGAGCTCAGGAGTAGAGAGGTAGATTTGGTTGTCTTCAGCCTAGTGATGATATTGGAATCCATGGGAGGCCAAGTTGATCCATCAGTTGACCAAGTTTCTTTTCTTTCTCTCTTTTAGACAGACGCACATATCTCTGTGTCACTACCGACCATCCATGAAGTTGATCTGTTCAGGTAAAAACATAGCGGGACATAATTTAATTAGGATCTGCCATTAGATGCTTTTGGCATTTGCACACTTACATTCCATATTGTATTAGCATTTTTAGTCAAATTTAAATTTTAATATTTACATTTAACACTTATATTTATTTTGCAATGTAAAAGTTTTATTTAAAATGTATTCTTTCTTTCTTCTTTTTGCAGTCGTGTAAGCATTTCACTGCATATCATACTTGTACGATTGTGTATGTGACAAATAAATCTATCTATCTATCTATCTATCTATCTATCTATCTATCTATCTATCTATACCTAGATGGCTTGGGTAACATTCTTGTAATAAGCTTCCTCATTAAAATGTACATGTTATACAGTGTAATAAGCTGTACTGCTTCAGTACACCTAGAAGATGGTGACACGTGCGGGTGTGTGTGTGTGCGTGCGCGCACCATTAAATATTGTAGCTCCTTATAAAGAGAAATATTCACCAACCTAAAAATTTTCAGGGAAAAATCAACTATTTTAATTTTTTACTTTAAAGGAGAGCTATGAGGTGAGTGATTTTCACTCAGCCTCCTAGTTCGAGCCGACGCGTGACAATGAAACTGTCACACGTCGGCTCAATAGATCGGGAAGTGAGCAAACACATACCGTCGCTCGCTCACTTCTCGATTCTGTCCCTGCAGAGTCGTGATGGTCACTCACAGCTCCCTGCAGTGATTCCCCCGCTCCGATCCTCCAGCGCTTAGTGGAGCTGTAGCTCGCGATATCCTGAGCTTTGGGTCACGGGAGGACACTAGTTTATGTCCTCCCGTGACCCTGAGGAGAACTATGGGGAAAAACACTTACCCCATAGTTCTCTAAGTATTTTTTCTTTTTCATAAATTACATTTTATTGACTTGCAATGTGCCTTGGAACATGCTACAGAATATGACTTCAGGAAGAGTCAGTTCATTAGCACAGCCCCCTTCCTTGCTGCTTGCATGTCATAGCCCTCTCCTCTTGTGGGAGTGTGTAATTACTGTATGTTTTGGCCCAGCTCATCTGGGCATCCCTTCACCTCCCTACAAAAACTTTATGTAGGAAATATTGAAGAGTTTTACTTAAGTGTCAACTCAGAGTCGGTTTGGGCTGTTGACATCACAACAAAGATGGCGGCATCCATCAGCAGTTTCGGGCTTTTGAAGGTCTACACAAGGGAATGTTTATAGATAAATAACATGCATAAAGTAATTAAATGCACATATAATCTAATGGAAAGAGTGGATGGTCTGAGGACAGGACCCTATTTTCACTATTGGCTGGTAGTTATTAACTGCTTGGGCACTAAAGTGATGCAACGCAAACTTTGTCTCTCTCCAACTGTTTTTCACTTGAAAACATCTAAAGATACTGGGGGGAATTTATCAAACTGTAGAAGACAACATCTGGAGCAGATTTGCACTGCAACCAATCGGCTTCTCTCTCTCATTTTTAAATCTTACCTGAGCAAACTGAAGAGAGATGCTGATTGGTTGCCATGGGCAACTCCTCCAGATTTTCTCTGCTCCAGTTTTGATAAATTCCCCCCACTGTATGTGCAGGGACTACTAGGTGTCGGGGCTGTTTTCTTGCAGCCAGTTCAGAATTTTGATATTAGGGGGTGGAGGCATGCAAAGAACATGTCAAAACACTTTATTGTGCCTGTTCTCTGTAAGCACAGGTTCACGTTAATGTCATTTTATTTTACGAGATTAACCATTGATATGATTTAGAACAGACTGTTCTTTTTCTTTAGGTGCTTTTCCCCAGTATTCTTCCACATCCAGCTGCTCTGGGAGTTGGTGCTTCTAGGGGAACCTTTGGTGGTAATGGCTCCCTCTCCGGCACAGTCTTCAGAAACGGTGCTAGCCCTTGTAGGGTAAGTCTTCGCAAGGGCTTCTTGTCATCTGCAGACTGCTGTTTTTAGTGCAGACCTACCTTACGGATTGAAACATCATCAAGTTAGCTCTACTACATCTGTGGATGTAAAGCAAGACTCCAGGCAAATCAAATCTTAACCCTTGCAGTGGGGCTACCTCTGCACTGCAAGGGTTAAGTGCTCACTTTGTCTGGTGAGCTAAAATAACAAAGTTATACTCACCGGAACACTGATCCCAGCTGGCACCTACACTGCTAACTATAGCCTGTCTCCAAATCCGCTCCAGCGACAGTATGTCCCGCAGTGTCCTCAAGTTGTTTACACTGTATAGGATCTGATGACTCACTGGACCTTAGACTGCTGGAGTGGAGGGGGAGAGAGGCTGAAGGGACCGGTCTAAGAGCAATTGGGAATCTTGGTTCCAGTGAGTATAACTT